CCCACCGAAAAATAAGTTAAAAAACTAAAAAATATGAACCTCCAAATCATCAGAGCTGAGATTAGGTAGCATGGAGGAGTGAGCGTCCCATGTCCTGTGTTCCTTGTATGATCGGGAAATAACGAGAAAATTAGGTGTGTAAATAATGGCATAACAATTAGTATGAAAAACATCCGTCAGAATTTGACTAAATGATAAATTGTATCCACCATAGAACTTAAGAAATTATGACTCAAAAAAAAGGCTGCTAATATTCTTGTTTCATCAACTTGTTTGTCCAAAACTTACCTAGTTTTAGAAATTGTTTATACTTTGCGTATCAAATTCAAGATCTATACAATGACCCCGAATGCAGTTGATGAAGGTATACTGCTGGCAGAAGTAAAGGAGTCTTACGATTTAAAAGTTAAAGTCATTACATTTATCACAAAGCTTAACTAGCTTGTTAATTTACTATTTGCATCGAAAGCAAATTTTTCAATGTTATTTTTAAATAAAAGTCAGGAAAAAACACACACAAAATATTCACATAAAAGAATTAAGGCTCAGATTAATCTTTCAATGCTGAAATCATCTTTTAAAAGATATATTTCATTGAGTTATTACATAAATTTTCGTGTTAAGCAACCAATATTTAAATTATAGCTTTCCAATACCATTTAGAAGTTTAGATATGTGGGAAAATAATATCCTGTTTACAAAAAAAGAAAATACTATACATCTCAAATTACATTACAAAAATTAAATTAAAAAATCACATGTTATGGAAAAAGATTGTGGCATATAATGTGTTTAATCAAACATCGCATATTTTGTGCCCATTCTATAAAAAAAATTGAAGAAATACTGATAACAAGGTTCATAGGTTCATATTATTAGAATTCGCAGCAAATATTTTGAAACTATTTTGATCGTTTTCGTTAAAAATAGATAATTTACAGCGGGCTTTAAACAATCGGGAAAAGTTCATATCCCATTTGAGATTTATTGAAAAAAAATCACTGTCGCTCTTTCCTTGTGATCTTTGGTACCTAAAGTACCATTTTCTCGAAAAAAGTCGATCAATCAACAAACTGAACTCTTCAAACTAAATATTTGAAAACATAAATAGCTTAGATTCATTTCAAACTTTTCGGCATGGCCACGTTTGTCGACCTTGTGAGCGATGCTACAGGGGAATCAATAAATCGAAAATCGATGGATAAACCGAGATCAGAAAAGAAAGGATAAGGAACGATGATTGTAAGGAAAACATTTAAGCACCTACTCATTCTTGGTTGAATTTGGCAAACATAAGTGATCTAGGGCTGTAATGATTGCAGAATATAATTGTGCTTCTCTTTTACTGATGGTAATCAAAGGATACGAATTAAAGGCGCCATAAGTATTTGAATGATTTAAATTTTAATTTTTTGTTCGTGATTTTCTATGAAATTTACAAGTGTATTGAACTCAATTTATTAATCTCTTCATAATTTTACGGTTGCATTGGAGTATTGGCTTATGGGTAATTAGTCTTTCTTTGGTCAAAATTTTCTTTATCGTATGCATAAAAATAGGTATCATAAAAGCATGAATTTATAATGTTCTATGATATTTGATAAAATATATTTTTCAAAATGTATGACATTGTTCCAATTTCTACGCACATACACTAGTACTGTACATGGTATTATAGATTTTAAAGTTCTGAAAGTATTTTCAGGACAAATTTTCTTTAATCTTTATCTCTGTCATTTGATAAATTAAATACATATATATTTACTTCATTCAAAATGAAGGATTTTTTGGGCATTTTTTCTTTGATTAAGAACTCTCATAGAAATGTCCCTTAATTTCAAATGATCACATAATGAAAAATCGTAACTATTAATATTTTCGATCATTTCTTAGGCTGATGCAAAAGCGTTTCTGAATTAACTGGTAATATATGATAGAAAGATATCAGCTTTCTTTTCACTGAGCTGGTGGTCAGTGATGTAGAATTGATTATAACTGTATTTCATTTACTAGTATTTACATTAAGGTCATTTTGTCTATATAGTCATGTGTTTTAAAAGAACACATTATCCAGTTAAGCAAGGTATTTTATAGTGAGGTAGCTTGATACAAAATCCATACATATAATTTTGCAAATGAGACGAACAGCTTTTAAAGTTAAAAGTCCATTAAACAATACAAAATGGGAAAAGAGCAAACACGGACCTCTAAAACATCGGAGGTGGGATCAGGTGCCATGGAGGTGTGAGCATCTCCTTTCCCCGGTCACATCCGCGTGTGCTCCTTGTCATGATCGGGAAATAATGGAAAATCCGTCGTCAATTCAGTGTGTAAATAAGGGACTAATAATAAGTATGAAAAAGTCAGCCAGCATGTGACTCCATGATAAATTGTATTTGCTGACAAGGTCATTATACCCCCATAGAACAAAATGATGACTTTAAACGAGCTGCTGATATTCTCGTCTCATCAACTTGTTTTTTTTTTCAATAACTTACCTCGTTTTAGATTTTTACATACGAGAGATGCTCTTGCGTAAATCTCACTAATGCGAAATAGCTGAAATTCCTTTGGTAAATTGTAAATTTCCTAAAGAAAAAGAGGATTTACCATATATGTATATATATACCCTGGTATATATATATATATATATATATATATATATATATATATAAAAAGTATAAAAGGTCGTTTTTTGTAACTAATATTTACTATAGATATTTCAATGTTTTTTCTTCATTATTTTGTTTGCAGAGATATGACGTCTACGAGAGCTTTTCTACTTTTGTACATTATTTTGGAAACTCTTCATTCAGGTTGGTGTATTTGAATAAGATGATTCCAACGATCAAATAGAAGATAATTGTTCATTGTTTTATCCTAGTAATTCTGTATTGTAATAAAAATTCAATGCAGTCATTGTAAATAAACGGGAATTATATTGAAGGATTAACATAAAGGACTTTAAAATTTAGATTATGCACTAATTTCTCTTTATATTGATAATCAGTAAAATTTTAATCGTTGAGGGATTTCTTGCTACAGTGTTTTTTGAAAATTGATATAGGGTTTTTTAAAAAAATAAATTGCATAGACATCATTTACCCATAAACCTTATAAAAATATTTAAAAAATATTGATAGTTTGCGAGAAGCTTTTTAATGCAATATCGATATTTTTTATGTAGTGCATCTTTTCATCTTCTGTAGTTATAGAAGTGATGTTGATGGATTTTACTTTATTTATCGATGCAGATTCTGGGCTATCAATATTTTAAGCTGATGAAATTGCTTTTCTTTATTTTCATATGCATGATTCCGAGTATGGCATATCATTGATGTCTTTTTGTTGCAATAATAAAATTGTTATTGCAGGAATGATTGCTTGAAAAAAACCCATAAGTATCGTTTTCATTGTTTATTCAAAGTACACAATGCTAACATTTCGTTTTATATTCATTTTATATTTGAATATCTTTAGGTTTTTTCACAACCACTAAAAAAAGCCCCAAATTTATAGAATGCTAAGTCTTGGAATGATGCAAAGACAATCTGTGAACAAAGTGGTTCATCCTTAGTTAAATTTTTTTCCGACGAAACAATACTTCATTGAAAAATATCTTCAAAACAGTGGGGTTTAATTGTGTAAGTTTAAATTAAATTTAAGATGAAAATGTATTATTGTAAGGCTACGATTGTTAAATAAATTATTAAAACTTTTAAAAATTGTTAAAATAGTTCACACACCCCTATACTATATGTACCTTTCAAATACTAGTACCGGTCATTAAAGCTATATTTTCAGCTGAAATATCTCTGAAATATTGTTGACCCAACGTTAAACATAAGGAAATCAATCGATCAACCAATCAATCAATCCAAAAATCAATTCATTCACAGTTGAAATTAAAGACTGTTATGAAGTATTCTTTTATATTTTTTTACTATATTTAAAAAAAATAATATTTTTTTTATTTGCAAATAATTATATGGAGATAACGAACAGTATTCAAAGATCAAAATTCTATAAAACAATACAAAATAGGAGCAGAGCAAAAACAGACCTCCGCAACACCAGAGATGGATCAGGTGCCATGGAGGAGTGGGCATCACCTACCTACCGGTCACACCAGCTGTGTGTACCTTGTCATGATTGGGAAAACGGGAAATCCGTTGTCAATTTGAGAGTGAGAAAAGAAAAAAGTCAGCCCAAATTAGAATTTGAACAAATCATTTTTCGACCCCCCACTTGACTCGCAGGTAATGGAAACGGAGAAATCAGAATCCTTATTACTCGTTTAAAGAACAATCCAAACTATCTGCTTAAAGTGAGATGGCTTCGACGTAAAATTGCATGAGGAATCCTATAGGGACATTGTTAATAATAAAAGTGAAAAGCGTCTTCTTGATTGCCTGAGTGAAAATGAAATTCTGAAAGCTTATTACTGGCATACTAACAGGACACCACCACACGTCTTGTAGATCATTTAACTACTGCTTAATGGTTAGTGTATTGGCTTTTTATTTTTCATAGATACTCGTACATTCTTCCTTTGGGTAACAACATTTTTCAACCCTTTGACCTTGGAGTTTGACTTGTATTTGAGAAGCTTTAACCTTTGCCAAAAGATATGGAGATATCAATTTTTCACAACCACACTTTGTACCTCTATCACAGTAGAGTTTTTCTATTCTTCTCCAATTAACCGAGTTTCATATAAAATCATGTTAAAGCGATTGAGCTTTGTGTGCATACAGTTTTTAGGCGTCACCAACTTTTTAAAGTTTAAATCATTCGATATTACTTCTCTTATTCAGATATTTCTTTGAAACATAAAGAAAAAAGACGATTTAACTGTTATTATTTTCTGTATCGTTCTATAGCCCCGGAAATGTATGGACGGGATTACATGAAATAGATTCGTCAGACGGATCAAAGGTAAAATGGATCGACTGCAACAATGTAACCTATCACAAATACGCCACGACACCAAGTTCAGTAGCAGACGACAATAAATGCTTTTCAATTAATCCGTCAACAGGACAATGGAAGACTGAGAGATGCGATGTGAAATTAAGCTTTATATGCGAAGTAAATTTAGGTAGGAATGCTAAGTATTTTGAAGGAAGAAAAACAATTTCGTTGTGGATCGAATTAAAAGCGGGATATAATGTAACATTATTCAGGCCCCCAGTATCTTAAGCGATTAAGCGGTCATTTCCTACTGCGCTGTTGTTTATAATCTTCTTTTGAGGAAGGAAATACATTGTAGATATTATCTATATGATTATATAGGATGCTTTTTTAAATCATTATACAAAATAATCTCTAATCAGTAATGGTCCTGCTAGGTTAACACGCGATTCAGTCAAAATGATAATAATTGAGATCAACTATTCTATTTTCACTTTTTACGAAAAAAGAGCCTAATACTACGATGGCCATATCAGTCTGTACATAGACCCACTGCTATTGAAATTTGTACATCTAAAATGTACATTGACATGTACATTTTGCAATGACAGTGCACACTTTGTGCTCTTAACTTTTGTCTGTACATGTAATGTACAAAATGACAAAAAGGCAAATGTCAAAACGTGAACATTTGATACACATATTCTTCTAATTATAATTTCTGGTCAGCGAAAAACCATTAAATATGAATAAAATTGGACAAGGCACTGAGAAGATGAGTTTTGCAATAAAAAGGATTAAAAATATTAAAAGAAAATGTAAAAATTCCTGTGGACATTAGATCTAATGTTAAAATATGTCTTCTTTTAGTTTTACTGAAAAGAGTGAAATTTCTATAGATTAAAATCACCTTCCACAAACATTTTTTGCACAATAAAGTTGCCCCAATCCAACCCAGAAAATGATAAGTATTTAAGTACAAATCGCTAAATTTGCGCCTCGCTAAAATATTTCCACTTACACGGTATATTTCCAATTTAAAAAATTTTGAAAACAATAAAATGTGAAAATCATAACGATAACCTTTTTGTTATATTTTTATTATATTTAGTATGCTTTCATGTATTAAAATGATATCTCTCATTGTTGGGTATTACAATATAAATGTAATATTTCCTTCCTAAGCAAGCCTCAGGTTTTTTTTTTTTTTGGAGGATACGATAGAGGTATCGTTTTATGTCGTGTTTTGTAATCATATAAAACTTTCTTACTTTACAGGACTTTGTGATTTTGACCGATACTATCCAAGAACCGGTTGTAGTGGATCTTTGAAACAAACGGGAGAGTACAGCCTTTACGATTGTTTAAATGCCTGTCGTAATATTCCAATTCAATCTGAAGGTGAGCCAATTTTATTTCTTAAAATTTTTATCAAATCGGTATATGTAAGCAGGTCATTATTAAAATATTTGTAGGAATTCCATGCGGTCCTAATGCTTTCTATTAAGGAAAAAACTCCCAATTGTTTTCATTTCAAGTAGGGTAAGTCGGGGTAATTTCTACTACCGTTTAAGTTTGAACACAGCAACATCGCCCTGCACAATAATTTACGGAATTATTGAAGCTAAGCAGAAAAATTGAAATTAATGAAAATTGTTTACTCAATTTTTTTAAACTAGTATATTTGAAAACAGTCAAGTTTTGCAATTGGGGATTAAAAGCGATACGTCAGCAAAAGTGGTACAACTTACCCCAATTTACCCTAGATTCAAATGCCTGCAGATAGTTATGGTGTTCAGCAAATAATACTCGAGGTCTGAGTAACTATGGCCATACGATAGTGAGCCCTTCGCGAGACAATCAGGTTAATTATTTAAAGAAGTATCTTTAGTTCTCTACACATAAGAAGTTGTGTTACACTAAATTGCCAGTGGAGACATGATGAACGAAAAAAACCATTCTGTTTCATCGTTATGAATTATAGTTTTTGTTACCCCACCCATCTCACTTAAATAAATAGTTAAAAATACCCAAGCTTCTTCAATTCGGATATTTCTTAATTTTTCGTTGTTAATATGCACATTTCGTTTACAAACAAACATACTTGCGTGCAACATGAAATTATTACATCAGTCAATAGTCGTCTTTCAGATGATCTTAAAAAAAGAACGTTTGAAAACTGGCTACTTTGAACTTTCTGGCATGAAAAAGATTTACTGCTCAATCACACTGAGTACCGAGTATACATGTATGTATAATTTGAAGCTTCCAGTGGCATTGCTGCAAGTTGTGGCATATCAAGAATTCTCAAAATGAAAATTCTTATATGTAGAATTCTCAAAAGGGGGGGGGGGGGGAAGAGCAGACGAAAACTACCTGACTGTTGCATATTACTGTATATAGCTTTTTTGATGAATACTCTTGATTAGTTCCCCGTCTTTTAATAGGTGAGGAATGCTGGGGTGTCGGGTTCTACCAGGGATTTACCGGGATGACTGTCTGATGTTCCTTCTGTTGATCCAGAGGGAAATCAAATCCAGCTTTTCAAATAACGACATTGATATGTACCTTAAGACATGTTTTACACGTAAGTTTTATATATATATATATATATATATATATATATATATATATATATATATATATATATATATATATATATATATATATATAAAAATGATAATGAACCAAGACGAAATACATAATGATGCCTTTTGTTTCAATATTATTTATCACGTAGGTTGTACTCGTTAATATGTTAGAGTTGCTTGCCTGTAATTATTTTTTGAAAAGTACAAATTGATGTTTCGCTTTTCTGATAATCTTGTCATGTATATTTGATTTTTCAGATGAGTAAATAATACGATTCTGGCGGATAATTCGGTAGCCCTAATTCCCATACCTCCTGTATGGTCAATATACCATTGATATCGTCCACGCAAGGGGATTTCACCATGCAGAGTACAAATTCAGTTTGTAAGTTATCCTACTGACTATGAAAATTAAATGCACTTAAGCTGCACATCTGTAGCTCGCTGTTTTGAAAAAAATTGGGACGAAGACCAGAGGGCAGTCAGCTACTATGCCATACATTCAAAGTGTATTTTTATTGCCCACAAAAAGTGCGTTTTTTCTCGATTTTTTCCTCCTTTTATTCAAGCTTCCATCTCAAAATATTAAAAACCTTGTTTCCAACATATTCTTTCACTATCTTTCTGGACCATCGAAAATTTCGCCAATGTATACTGCCATTTAAGAAAATTCGGTCCAACGCGCCTTATACTTGACTTGTACTTATAGAGTTTTGTTTTGGGAAGTAGTAAAAGGATATGCTGGGAACACATGGTCATTAAATATTTTATGTATAATGAAAAATAAATCTGAAAAGGACTTTTTTGTGTGCAATAAATATACCTATGAATATTTTAACGGGTGGGCATTGTACTTCTGAAGGTTGTCCCATCAATACATGTTTTAATGCGTTGTTTCTTGTTTTATTTTTCGCTGTACAGTTAAGCTTCCATTTCTATAATGTAGCTTTTTATCTGGTCGTCCATCCCAAAATTTTTTTAACCTCGAGCTACAGATCTACAGCTATGAAAGCATCAGTGGGGAAAAAAGAATATTCCTTTCCTGTCCTTTAGAATAGAATTTTTATCGTTTTTTTTTTATCAGAATGACTCATCTAGTCATATTTCAAGGGATTGTTAAGCAAATCAAAACACACATTGGGAAATATTTCCTCTTCCCATTTTGCAGGAACCTAGCTGCTAGAACAAAAGAATGCTAAAATTTTATGTGGCAGTTCAATCAAATTTTTGCCTTCAAAATACGCCCAGATTCCTGCCGAATGACAATTATAAGTGCATTGCGGGTTAAAATTCTGTGAATATAAAACTAATATGACGTCATTATACTTGCTGGACTATTCGTCTTTCTTTGAGGTAAAACGTCCAGATTGAAATTTATGATGATGATTGGGTTAATTTTGTCAAAGTCTGATAGTATCACATTAAAAATTAACGGTTCTTATACAGGAAAGTTCATCAGATGAAAAGCTTGACGTCAAAGAAATGTCAATATGATTTTATCAAAAGAATAGTTGGGACCGAAGTGTGTGATATAATATAAATGATAAAAGGATTTCAAAGAATCGGAAAAATAATAGAAATAAACAATTTACTTTCACCATACATATAATACGAGTATAATTTAATTTTAAGTTTAATTCAAAGTACCAATATGCATATTTAATTAATTTCTTTCCAAATTAAGAAATGCACGTTATGTTTAACGTGTTTTTGAGCTGTATGAATGAACTTTTCAGTATTTTTACAGTACAGTGTTTGGTGTATTTTAATGTGCCGACAAAAGTCATGGTTAACAAATATCAACCAAATTGCCAAGAACTATGAATAAATAAAGCAAGAAATTGAGTTTTTAAATTTGTTATTAGGATTTACAGATATCACTTTAAACTTAGATAAATAAATAAATGAATAAATAAAAAAGTTAGCAACGTTCATAAGTAAAGTCAGACCATCTTATAATAATGACTTGTCAGATTAATATCTAGACAGAGTTTAATTAAAAAAATGTGGGTGGATACAATCTCTGATTGGATTGTGGCTGTTATTTTGTTTTACCCCTTTTTATGGCAGACAGCAGTTTAAGACATTTTGTATATGTTTTTGAATCTTATAATGTTTATAGGGTCGACTTGAAATACACGAATACCACAGGCGCTTGACGTTTTATAGGGGATATTTTCATTTATGAAAAGAAAGCTTAAAAATGTCAAGCGCTTGTGATGAATACTGTACCTTGTGAAAGATCATAGGGTTTGAATTCGTATTCTAGTCTGGTTTACCCCCCTTTTTCCTATGTACATCAAGTTACAAAGACATTATGGTGCTGGGGGTCAAATCGTGCAATACTTTGCCTAAGATGTGTAATACTCTATTTGAGTCCCCCTTTTCTTACCCCCTTTTTTTCTTACCCCCTTTCTTTTGTAAACTGTGTTTTACTTCTTTTGTCATTTACTTTAATAAATGACATGTTTCACTTCTATATGATGTTTTTTTTTTTTCCTGCTTCTAACAAAAAACAAGCTCATTCGTTTGGCAGGAGAACTTAAAGGAACATAAATAAAGAAATTAGCAACGTTCATAAGTAAAATCAGGCTATCTTACAATAATGACTTGTCAGCTTAATATCTAGACAAACTTTAATTAAAAAAATGTTTTATTCAGTTTTTTATCATGATTAAATGTTTTAAGCATAATATGTCAATATTTGTTACATTTATACAGTTGATAGTTTTTGCTCCACTGTTCAGTCCAGCACTGTTCAAAGGGAGACAACTTTATATTCTACAAAGCACTTTATGTATAAGCACAGACGCACTTTTGAAAGCTGTATGAATGTTATCGTTTTTGAAGTTTTATATTCGTTTAACCACGTAAACGTTAAACTGAGGACTATTATCCAATTTCATTTCATTAGCTACAAACTTATGAAGATAAAGAATGCATTTTTTCCTGATACAAAGTATTGCACGAATGCCAGAATGGATATCCTCCCAGGAAGTCAAATTCCATGTTGTGTGCTGCATGTTTGTGAATACCACTAAACAGTTAAAAGTGTGCTGGATATTTGTTTGTCTTTTAATGCTATTTCCTTTGATTTTTTTTAAATATGCATGATACCTACATGTATGTATCGTCCTTTAAGGATAAATGATACGTTACCCAATGCTTTTTCGCAAGATTTGTCATTAAAGTAACTTTTATATTGTTTTCTAACAAAGGATTGAGGTACCTTACCAGACATATGTGCAAAATACAAGAAGATGGTATTCCCTTACAATCCTTTTGAAAATTACTTAAATAGCCAATTTTAATTTTTTTTTAACCTTTTGATTTTTCTATGACAATCGGAAATCTGTTGAGAAATTACACTTGTAATAATAATTTGAATAACTTTATAACATTACGAAGAGATACAAAACAGATATTATTACAGTTGTTACAGTATGCATAACTGTAAATGTATATCTTCGTAATACACAACATGTACATTCATCATAAATATCATCATCTTGTAATTCTTAAAACTTTATTTAAAAAGATAAAGTAGATAAAGACACACTCATACAAAAAATGTAATATTGACAATGTTAGTAATTTTCAAAATGATTTTATAATAAAAAAAAATCTGGTATTTTGCAAAAATGCCTGGATATGTACTTTAATTTTTTGAGGGAACTTTAATGGCAAATGCTTGGGAAAAAATATAATATTGAGGAAGTGTATGATCTTAATTAGCATTTGAACGCTCAGGCCCGTAGTAACAGTTTTAAAAGTGGAACTGGGTCGTTTAAAAAATTAAAAAACTATTCAGTGGGGTGCCTGTTTTCAAAAATCTGTTCTTTATTTCTTTCTTTTTTGTTGGTATATTTATTTTTTAATCCTGGAATTTGCCAGTGCTTTACCTTAAAGCAATAAAAGGGGAAATCAGCATCTAAATCAAGATTTACTATAATGAACATAGCATTTTTTGCAAAATGCTGGTATATATACCCGGTAGTTGCAGGGCCTTAAATGTTTTCACTTCAGTCGTTATAAAACAGGGTTTGAAATTTTTCATGTTGGATTATCAAGTGAAATTCTGATGACAATATTTTAGATGTTGTTCATTTTTTTCAGCTATTACGATGACAACAACCAACAATCCAGATGTTTGTACTTGCCCATGCAGAGCAAATTCTACGAAATCAATAGAACAACAACTGATGGACATTAAAAAAGAATTAACCATTAATAAAAAGAAAACCTCAGCTTACCTAAGAACTCTGTCTTGTGTGGATGATTCTACATCTCAGTTCTAAGGTGATTGGTTATGCAGGTATAATATTCATCGTGTTGGAAATATCATTGTTTGTATTTCTAGATAGTCCAAACTTAATGAAATTGTTTAAATTCATTTACAAGAAAAGGTGAAGGACAGTGAAGATGTAGACACTATTTTATAAAATTTAGATATTGCACATTTTTGTGTCAGATACAGTGACTTGTTTTAAGCATGTGTTTTGAATTGTTTTTGTGAAAATAATAAATGTATACGTCATTTAAGACTTCTTCTTCTGTTTGTATCATTACTTGTATGTACATTTCTTTTGTTAATTTTTTTTCAGGTTTTTGTCAGCATTGTAATTTTTATGTCCGTTCATAAATTTGCCGTGGAATGATGTCAACCAATCTTTCATTCGGGTGTATGTTTGCTGTAAGGCTATACTCTCGGGAAAATGTTATATATTATATGTTATATATTATAAATATTTTACTGTAAATGTGTTCTTGTCTCAGAATGCAATGTTTGTGGAACCACGAACATTTCAAGGTTTCTATGGAGTTGTCTCTCTTTCTTTGATACTCGAAACTCGAAAACAAAAGCAATACGTTAACTCCCCCTCTCCTGATAATAAACTG